TTTTCCCTACAACAACAATCCTGGGATGTGAGTTGGGCTAAGAGTGACTGGCCTACCACTGTTACTCAGCTGGCTTTCATGTCTATGACAGGACTAGAACTCACAGACTTCTGATTTCTAGTGTGGGCCTTAACCACTACACAAGATTGGCTATCTTGTGTACAAATTAGGAAGAGAAATAAGTTACTAAAGTTATCTGACTGGGAACTTAAATTTGAGAAAATCTGCAGTAATGGAAAAATTAATAGCATATATTCACAACAAAAGTATAAATTTAAATAAAAAAGGCTTTGATGCATACTATATATACGCAGAAGGCATATATAATTAACCACACACTGACTAAAGGATTGAGATCCGAGATAGCCACAAATTTTCAAATACTTATACAAATAGTCCTTGCTTAATGACTTTTAGCCACCATTCAAATTTTATAGTGTTGAAAAAGGAACTGTACAGCTGATCCTTACAATTAAACAACTGTGGCAGTGTCACATGATCAAGATTCGGGTGCTTCACTGCTAGCAGGATTATTGTAACATTAGGTGGCAGCATAATAGCCATTTGTACATTTCACAGCTGGATTCTGACAAGCAGAGTCAATGAAGAAGCCAGCAGAAAAACTGGAAATTGTAGTTGTGTGAGGTCTTGCTTAAAGATTATAGACGATTTGATTGACAACTGTAGCAGAAGTTAGGTGATCAATCCATTATAATCATGCTGGATGTCTCACTCAATACTATATCAAACCCTGCAGATAATAGGGAGCCAAGCCTGTTATCTGCAGGGTTTGATATAGTATTGTGGTATGCAGTATTCATCCTATAACTGAATTCAAGGCCTAAGTAAATTGATATTTTGCCAGGATCCTAGTTGTAGGAAACTAGAACAGCACTAAGATACTAATGCTACAAGTTTTAATTTTAAATTATGGATACAGTTGTATGGAAAGGAGGGCAAAGATGACCTTGAAAAAGGTTTTGTTCTGTTGCTTGAATCTGCACACTTGTTTTAGCTTATAGCTGTTGCAAGGAACCTATCCCCCAAATAATAATACATCTGGATTGTAGAGGTACAGTATGTATTTAATGTTTTTCTATTACTTCTTTAAACCTCTATGTGGCTCCATATTTGTGATCTCATCAATATGGTGTTACTGGGTTTTAAAAATAGTTTGGCTTTCTCAGCTACTATTAATTTCTCCTTGTCTCATTTTAGGTGGTCATACACAGGACACTATTGGATCAGTTTTGAAACTGGAAAATAGATGGACCTAAAACCCTTTTTGTTCTTTAAAATCAAATTATTTCTGTTTAAGAAATCACAATTTGCATGTCATGATCACACATACACAAGTATAGTTAGGATGAATTTCTATTCAGAAGCAATGTGTTTGGTAGAGGAGATTTATAAGGATTGAAGCTATCAGATGTTAGATAGCAAGTTTTCTTAATATAGTTAGCATTTGATCCACTAAATTACAAATTTACTGTTAAATGTGAGCTCCTCATCTGGTTAGTTTGTAGTTTGTAGCATGTAACAGTAGCAGAACATGGACTCAATACATACTTTTTTAAAATAATCAATAAATTATTAATTTATAATAAATAATAAGTTAAAAGTTTACCTTGTTAATAAATTATGTTAAAATATAAAATAATAACTTAATAATTTGTAAAATATAGTGTAAGATATTGGTGACTATGTTTTTCATAACCCAAGATAATAATAATTTTCATGTTAATCATGGATACTTATTAACTTTAATTCTTATTTTTTACTCAGTACAACACTATTTATTCATTATATAAATGAATCAATCTTATCAATATATACTTATTTAAATAGAAAAAATGAATTAGTCTGATAAAGAGCAGATTATTTCTTATAAAACAGATGGCCATATTGTCAATTCTGAGACCAATTAGAAGTACTTGATTAAAATAAATCTATAGGATACTGTATTTTTCGGAGTATAAGATGCACCGGAGTATAAGATGCACCTTAATTTTGGGGGAGGAAAACAAGAAAACAATAAGTCTACCTCTGCCTACCAGCATTTAAGGTGGCGCTGCTTTACGCCGCCCTCCTTCTCTTCCTGCAAGTGAGAGGTGCCTCAGAGACTCGGCTGGGAAAGAGGGCGTCAATTACTGATAAGTTCTTTTCCAGAAGACTTATCAGGGTGCTTCTGCGATCTGCAGGGACTACTCACTTTCCCCCAGAGAGATCCCTCACATGCTTTGGGGGGAGGGACAGAGCACAGCCTGAGGAACAAACCTCTTTGGGATGGTCTGGGGGGGAATCTGCCTGGCAGCTTCGGGGAACAAGGCGGGCGCCACAATTTGCAGCTGGTCACCCCTCTGGCTGCCCAGTGGGCAGCTCAGGGCAGACAATGGTCACAATGGCTTCACTCCCCAGCAATGTGAGGAGCCGCCACCACTGCTGCCTAACCCCTCTCCACGCCCAGGAGCCGAGCGAGCCGAACAGGAGCTCCTAAAGTGAAACGTCCCTCCTTTCCAGCCACCGCTGCCCGGATTCCCCAATGCAATTCTCAGAGCCACGTTTCAGGCAGCAGGCGGGCAGTTCCCCTGCAATGTGCAGCGGCGAACTGGGAACCATTTTGGATTTGGGGAGGGGATTGCAGCGCTGCCGCCTGAAAATGCTTTTCTTCCCATTGCACATTGCAGAGCCGTGCGCCTTCATCCTCTTTCTCAACAGACTCACCTTCTCTTTCCTCCTCGCCAGATCCGCCGCCTGAAACGCGATGCACTTTTTTTGCCTCTGCACACCCCATGTTTAGAATCGGGAAGGAGATCACGGATCTGCTGCCCGAAAATGCTTTCCTTTGGAATCTGTTCTGTCCCCGTCTCACACACGGACACAAACAGACAGCCAGGGGTTAAATAAACTGGCAGACAACCAATTCTTTCAATAAGAGGATTGGCAGCAACCCAGTAGCTGCTTGCCAAGAACTTTACTCATAAACAAGATACACACAGTTCAAGAATTGTCCAGTCCGTAATTAAATCCAAGGCAGATAATGTTGTTTCCAAAGATGCAATGTGACTCGATAGTAGTTAGTTTTGTCCGTCACAGAGTCTGAATGGCCACCTCACCCCCTTTTATACCCTGTGGGGTGTGGTCCAGTGACTCAGCTTAATCTCTGGCACGCCTCTTCTGTTGCGCGCGCTTATCTCTGCGACGCTGCCGAGGATCCAGCCAAGACTCATCTCCCTCATTACTGTCTACCTGTGGCTGCGTGGATGTGCTTGGCCCTGGCCCTATCTCTTGACCTTTGGCGGACATCGAAGGCATTGCCAGAGAGGAGGGTCCTGGAGAGGGAGGCCTTGCCAACTCCTCTCCTTCACTCTCGGAGTCCTCTTCTGCCAATGACACAGGCTCAGGTAATGGAGCCACAACAGAATCAAAGATCGTGGCTCTGAGAATTGCATTGGGGAATCTGGGCAGCGGTGGCTGGAAAGGAGGGACTTTTCACTTTAGGAGCTCCCATTCGGCTCGCTTGGCTCCTGGACACGGAGAGGGTTTAGGCGGCGGCTCCTCATAATGCTGGGGAGTGAAGTCATTGCAACCATTGTCTACTCTAAGCTGTCTGCTGGGCAGCCAGAGGGGTGACCAGCCGCAAATTGTGGGTCCCGCCTTGTTCCCCGAAGCTGCTGGGCAGATTCCCCCCCCTCCAGACCATCCTGAAGAGGGTTGTTCCTCAGGCTGTGCCCCGACCTAGATACCCGCCGCCTGGAACTGCCCGAAAATGTCCAAAGGGTGGGGCTGGCGGGTGGGCGGGGTATATATTCAGAGTATAAGACGCACCCAGATTTTCACCCCCTTTTTGGTATTCTGAAAAATACAGTATATACTATTTTTAAAATTCAAACAATCGAAAAGTTGTGGTAGAATAATTCCATGGGAGGAATGGAGCTGCATACAAAAGTTAGGAAAGAGCAATAAGAGCAATCATTGGGTATCTTAACAGGAAACAGGAGAAAATCCATTTGTATTTGCAAACTTTTACCTACTTACCTAGACATAAATCCCTTTTAGGAGGATTTTTCAATTGAAAAATGTATACTGTTTAGTAGAAAAAGAAGAGTATTTTAATGTATAAATAATAAGAGGAGGATTTAGGATAAAACTGTCTGCAGTTTTATTCCTGCACAGCATTTTTTCATACCCTTTGAACAACAGATTAGCATATTAGTAGCTCTGTTTGTATTATAGCAAATTTATTATTGTATATTAATGTTATATTAATTATTAATATTAATATTAATAACAATGCATGTTATTAATGTAACTTAGTTGGGGGGGGGAAGCTTTCAGTATCTCTTTGCTGTCATTTAGTGGTCTTCTGATTTTCACAGCCAGGTAGTGTATATTAGTTCTTTTATACTCAATTTAATGTACTTTTTAAAATACGATATACATATCTATGTTTTCCTAAATATCATCTATTTAATCTAGCTAAATTCATGATTTTCTTTCCCAGAATCCAAATGAAAAGAAAACAAATAATTAGATAATATTAAATTAAGAATAATGGAAAGAACAGAATAAATAAACCTATTCATTTGGGTAAGAGAGTTATCCCCAATAATTTCATTTTAGGTGTACAAGAGACCTGTGTGGGTCACATCACTTCGTTTGCACTATTGTATACACTATTGTACACAATAGTACAAACAATGATACTAGTATCATATTCCGTTTTATAAGCAAATAAAATGGGGATAGGTTGTAGTATCAACAGTTTTAAATGACAAAGAGTTTTGGATAGGGTTAGAACTGAGATTTGAGAATAAACTTGATAAAAGAAACAGTGGTATTACGGTGTATCACAGACATTCTCACAGAAGTAATCTCCTTAGTGGGCAGCGGTTTTGAAAAGCTGGGACATTCAGGCTGAGCTGAAGCAAAATATAGCATCTGGATATCAGTTCTGCATTTTTCCACTAACCTTTCATGACTACTGTTTCCAACCTTAGGTGAAAAAGATGTGGTAATTTTGGGTGACTTTAGTCAGCCCCCTGATAGTAGTGACCATGACTTGTTACGAAAGGAAAAGTTCCACCATCTGGTTCCTGCAAGTACATTCACAAACATCAGCACAAAGAATCCTCAAGGTTCCAAATCTCTGGACAATATCTGGATCAGTCGTGGTTTGAAAAAGATTTTCACTGGTAAGGTTCCATTTTGCAAATGGAATTTCAATTATTGTATATCATTGTTAGTTCAGTGACCACTTCAAATGTAGCAAATGTTATTTTGAAGTGTGCCTGTTCCTTGCAGTATCATGCCAGTTTTATGTAGGCTCTGTCTTAGCATTCTCTATTCATCTTCCACAATATAGTCAGATATTTTGCTGTCGGGGTAATTGGGAGTTGCTTCTAACATATTTAAAACCTATTAATTGGTTAAAGGTTGCTATATGTGGATGTTTTACATTAGAATAGCCAATGTTTTGTTGACCAAGGTCTGTTTATAAAATTTATGGGAAAATCAAGGGCTGCATTAGGTGAGACAATGCTACAAGTGAATAGATTGTCTATTCCCTTGGTTTAGAGGCTGAACTTTGAATGTATTTGCTTTATATTATTTACATATTTACATTTACAATTTTTAAAAAAGTTTACAGAACAGTTTGGTGTAGATTCTACCTTAGAATAGCAGGAAATATATGAAAATATATACTCTACTCCTTCAACTGTATTTTGGGTATACAGCTGACTACAAGGCATGATAACCTTGAGTATTCAGGTTTCCCTTACTATGTTATCTACTTTCTTTAATATTTTTTCTCTGTAAACTAGAAGTTAATTTTAATAATTTAGAAATATAGTAATTATTCAGAAGAATAATTATTCTTTTAGATAATAACTTCCCATGTTTGTTTAATTTCATTTTCTGTATTTTGTGCTGTAATTTTCTTTCAAAAGAAATTTGAATTTAATACCAGCCACCCCTGGTGTTTCTGAGCACTATAGGTTTGTACTTACTAAGTTCCTTGATGCTATAATGTTTGATGCACTATATCTAATAAAACCCACATATTAACATTTAAAAGTAATAAGCTTTCTTTTGTCAGGATTTTTTTTGTCTTCCCAAATACTGACACTCTTTCTCCTGCGCCATTTTGTTTCCACAGGTCATTGGGCAGTTGTAAGAGAAGGTCTTACAAACCCTTGGATCCCTGATAACTGGTCATGGGGTGGAGTAGCATCAAGTCACTGTCCAGTTTTAGCTGAATTTTACATTGAGAGAGACTGGAATAGAAAGGATCTAAGTCAAAACGGAGATGGCGTTTTAGTGGAATGCACTGATGTGCATTCTAAACATGAGCGGTGATGAAAAGGAGGAAAGCTACTTTTTTTTCCCCCCAAAAGATGGTTTGAAGATAGCTTCACTCAAGGTTTGACAGTGAACAAGAACTGCTGTGTATTTTGTTTTAATTTAAAAATGAATATGCTTCTGCTTTTAACATCTCCCTTTCCTATTCCCACTTCCCACAAGTCACTGTGGATTGTGAATTATGGAGACATGGAGGTTTCTGGGGATTGATATACCTGGATAATTGCAAATAAAATTTACTTATTAATAGTGTTTGTTCACAATCTCCTTTCTTCTGCTTCTAATAAAATACTATAATTGAACCTAATAGCTCATGGAAGAACAGACTTGGGCATTCTGTTATCTGGTTGAGATACTTCAGCAACAGAAAAAATCCTTAGTGCTATTGCATATAATACCCAGTCTTTACCTAGAGATGAGTTATGAGCTGCGTCATTTGAAGTAAAAAAAAAAACTCCAAAATTCATTGAAAAACTGATCACTTTACAATTCAGATTATGTTAGTCTTATCTGGTGCCTTCTAAATCACTTAATTTAATAAATAAATAACTAGCTAAATAAATAATTTAATTAATAATTAAAACTCCCTAAGTCCCAACTAGCATGAATATTAGGACTTATTCCTAAAACTTATCAAATGAAATCTAAACAGCCCTTAGCCAGTTCTTTCCATAAGTGTGTGCTGATTTACATTTCATTCATTTAAATGGTATAAATTCATTAATTATCATAGTTTGAAAGTATATGCAGAAACACAACAGTTCTTATAAGGTATCAAAAAGTTGTACATGACGAGGAATCAGTTATATATAATACAGTGGTTTTCCCCAACTTTCAGATAAAGTAGGAATATAGTTCTCAGAATTCCTGGTCATGAACAAAGAGGGAATTGTATCTCCTAAAACTTGAATGCTGGAATACAGCATTACATTCGCTTGTAAACCACATTGTAAAGTTTGTAGAATTTGTTATCTCATAAAGCAGTAGTTTTTCTCGATAAACAGTCTAGACAAGCACAAACCTTTTCTAAGAGTTCTGCACATTCTACACAATGTTGTTTGATGTTCAGTTATCAGATAGTACACATGGAAAAAATATGTGAACATAACAAAGGATGCTGAAATCAGTTAAGTTGAAATGACTGTAATTTCTTGTTCTTATTCTCTAAAGAAAAATAATCAATTGCTCTATTCATTAGATTATAAATTATTTAGCCTGGAAAGCCTGGAAAGAATTTGTCCATGTCTAACAATTGAAGGGAAATGATAAACAATCTTTTGTGCTTCTGTTTCACGTTTACTCCACTTTTATCAAGAAATGCATTGTCTAGCAAGGATAATGTTGGAGAATATTTCAACAATATTGAACTTGGGTTCCAGAAGGAATAATTGGAGCTGTACCCTGAATTCTGTTGATTCAACCTTTGCCTTTTTTTGGATGTATCTCCAGGTTCTATACAAATAAAAACACTATTCTGAATCTGTTTTTTTAAATTTGGAATTTGTACAACTTTTACATGAGTATGTGTATGTTGTGATCCAAAATAACTGAGAAAAACAGATTGGGAAATGTTCCTTTGTATTGCAGCCAAATAGAGTTGGTTGACTTGGTATAACTTCTTAAAGCATGCTTAAAGTCAAGCATACAGTATGTTTCATAATTCCTCATCTGATAATATGTGTACTTTTTAAATTGTGATAAATTGATAAAAGAATAGTACTTGTTGGTTCAAATACATTTATTTAGCAATAACTTCATTTGGGTGATATATAACCATAATGAGACAGTCTGGGAGAGATATACTTGGTTAAAACTGCTTAAAAATAGGTTTGTCACCAGAGAACAATAGAAAATATGCTGGAAAAAGAAAAAGAAAAATCAGAAATGACAGTAAATAGTATGCAGAATATATTGCAGATGATACAGGAAACATTAATGAAAACACAAGAGAAAATTGCTGATAATCATGAAGAGACGAAATTACATAATAAAGAAATTAAGAATGAAATTGGAGAAGTAAAAGAAGATATTAAAAATATGAATGATAAAATAGAGAATATACAACAAGCAATGTTGGAAAATGACCAAAGAATTAAAAAAAATGGAAACAAAAAAGGACCAAGTAGATGTAAAAATAGAAACGATGGAACAGAAGTCATTGCAACTAAATAAGGAGCTGACAGAGTCAATTGTGTTCTTAGAAATAGAGAAAGCTTCATATTTCCTATGATTCCAAAATATTGTGGAAGAAAAAGAGGAAGACTTGGGAGAAAAGATGGGGGAAATTTTGGCGGAATTAGTACAAAGAGATAAGATGGAAATAAGGGGGACAGATAGATGAAATTTATCGTGTGCACAACAATTATATAAGAAGACATCGGTTGGCGAGAGAGGTACACATAAGATTTACGAAACAAACGGAGGGATGAAATATATAAAAAAATCAAGAGAAGAAATGTTAACTTACAAAGGTAAAGAAATTATAATTTTGAAGCAGATACGAAAGATTCAGAATCAACAACAATACCAATTCTTGACAACTCAACTAATAAAATACAAAGTGATAGTTAAATGATTGATACCAGTTGGCATACTTATGACATGGCAAGAGAGGAAATATAAAGTGGACACAGTAGAGAAAGCACAAGAATTTTACAAGGAAGAACAAGAAAGCAAGGAAGAATCAGAGAGCAAAAGCCAGGATGAAGATCAAATAGAAGAAAGAGAAATAAGAAAGATACAGGAAAAAGAATGAAAAGAAAGTGAGGGAGCAAAAGGGAGAGTAAGAAGAGAGACAAGAAACATAAAAAAGCAACTTCAGTTAGAAATGGAAGAAGCAATAAAACTCTTCTCTGTGAATATAAATGGCTTAAACGCACCAAGAAAGAGAACACAAACATTTACTAAACTACAAAAGCTTGAAGCAGATGTGATATGTCTACAAGAAGTACACATTAAAAAGGAGTATCAGAAATTATTAGACAACCCAAAATTAGAGAAATTATACACATCATTAATACAAAAAAAGAAGAGGACTCGCTATATATGTAAAAGGAAGAATAAAATCAAAATTAATCCATTCGGACGAAGAAGGTCCGAATGGTAGAATTAGGAGTTGAACAATAACAATCGTTATTAACAGTAATATATGCCCCCAACAAAAATCAACACGATTTTTTTAAAAAAGTGCATAACAAAATAATAGAACTAGAATATGATAACATTTGTTTAATTGGGGATTATAATACAATAGTGGATATTTAAAAAGATTACAAGAGTAACAAGAAAAACAAAAAGAAAAAAGATATATTACCAAAAGAATTCTTTAGTATGGCAGCAGAATTAAAATTGCGAGATATATGGAGAGAAATGCACAGTGGAGAGAGCCAATATACATTTTATTCACACCCATATCAATCCTGGTCCAGATTGATATGACAGCTGAAATTCGGACAGGATTAGAAGAAGTAGAAATGGGAGTAAATGTGTGGGCAGACCATAATCTAATAATTATAAAATGGAAAGGACAAAAAAGGTTTAAAAGATGGACAATGAATCAAAATATATGTAAAGACAAAGAATACAAACAGATGCTAGAAAATGAGTTGAATATATTCTTTAGCGTAAATAAAAGAGGATACCTCAATACAAAACCTCTGGGACCTGCTAAAAGCATACATCCGAGGAGTGACAATGGCTCATAACGCGAGGAAAAAGAAGGAAAGGAAATGTCAACAAAAAAAACTACAAAAAAAACTTTAAAAGGCAGAAAGTAAATTACAGGAAGACCTCCAAAATAAAAAAACAAAAGAAGAATGGAATATAATTAAACATAAAATAAATTTAACAATTCAAAAGGAAATAGCCCAGAAAATAAAGATGTCAAAAGAGAATTATTTTGAACATGCCAACAAAACCGATACATAGTTGGCTTATAAATTAAAAAAAGATAAAGATAAAAGAATGATATATCAATTAAAAGATGAAAATGGGACAATGCAATACAGAAGAGAGGATAAAAAGAAAATTATTCAACAGTTCTTCTCAAATTGATATTGTCAGGAAGATATAGTAGAAGAAACAGTCAAAAATTATATAGAGGGAACAAACAGAGGAACAACAAGAAATATTAAACAGGCCGATAACTGCGATAGAAATTGAAATGGCATTGAAAAAACAAAAAACCAACAAAAACCTGGCCCAGATGAATTACCAGTGGAGATATACAAAAATACTCAAGAAATGCTGGGCGGGATGATGTTGGAAATATTTAATGAGGCTCTGGAACAAGCAAATATACCGAAAACATGGACAGAAGCAATAATTACTCTTATTCCCAAAAAAGACACGGACCATCAATAAATACAAAATTACAGACCGATCTCATTACTAAACACTGATTATAAGATATTTATGTCAATCATAGCTGAGAGAATTAAAAAAATTCTGAACAAATATATACAGCCGGATCAAAATGGATTTTTGCCAGGCCGACAAATTGAAAATATCATGAGAACAATAATAAATACTTTAGAATTCTATGAAATACATTCAGAAAAACAAGCTTCACTGGTTTTCCTTGATGCCCAAAAGGCATTTGATAAAGGCATTTGAACTGGAAGTTTATGATAAACCAATTGAAATTCATGGAATTTGGGACCAAATTTGAAAAGATGATTGAAAAAATGTATACAAACAAATAGCAAGGGTAATTATGAATAAGAACATTACAGAACAATTCGATATAACAAAAGGTGTGAGACAAGGATGCCCACTCTCTCCACTTCTATTCATATTAACTTTAGAAACACTTCTGAAGAAAGTCAGAGAGGATCAAGAAATAAAAGGGTTAAAAATAAAGGCTTTTGCCGATGATCTGGTGTTTATAGTGGAGGAACCATTAGAATCAGGACCAAAATTGATTAAAAAAATAGAAGAATTTGGTGAGGTAGCGGGACTTAAAATCAACAAAAATAAATCTAAATTATTAACCAAAAATCTTACAAAGAAACAAGAGAAAGAATTAGAATGTAGTACAAAAATACAAATAACCAAGAAAATAAAATATTTAGGGATTTGGCTTACTGCAAGATGTTCCTCAAATAAGGAGGACAATTATGATAAATTGCTACAGCAAATAAAAAAAAGGTTTAGAAAATTGGAAAAATTTACAGATCTCACTAATGGGGAGGATCACAATGATTAAAATGAATATTTTGCCCAAACTACTATTTCTATTCCAAGTTATACCA